AGAAACATTTCTATGAAAGCCAAAAGTAAAGAAGTAATTAGGTTTGATTACGGATGGATTTCAGTTAGAGAATCAAACAGTTGTTTCGTCTGTAGTTTGGTACTGTCCAGCAATAAGCGCCCATAATTCCGCTAGGGACCTAGCTCGGGAGTCACCTTTCGATTACAAGGCGATCTCGTGTACCATTTAGCCACTGAGATGGAATCCAATAGCTAAACAAATTCTAATTTCTGACAATTTGTGATATGATGTGCAATCGCCAGTCAATTTTCTCTCCGTCAGCATTTGCTCTCTCACTCGATTTGGTGGAACCCACTGGTTATGAGATGAGTTAATACTTTAGGATAGTCCCAAATTAGTGAGAAATATCTGTCCAGGAATCCCTAGATTTAAATTCTTCTCTAACTGTAGTCATTTGATGATCAAACCTGAAATCAATGGAATTCCCATGAAACAACACCTGGAAAAAGTGCTCACATTAATAATTTTATCGAAGAACAACTATTCACATGAGGATTCTGCACGACTGTAGTGAATAAATGAATGAGGTTATTACTTTTCAATCATTCCCTTCAAAAGTAAAACTTTTGGTTATAAACTAATAGTTGAGCTCTTCAAATCTTACCTATGCTGAAGAATAATACAAGAAACTGTAGGTATTGATGCAGAAGTAGAATATAATTCCATATTGGATAAGTAATACAGTATTAATAACTGGATGATGATGATGACATTTCAAACCAGTAGACAGGGGATCAGAGTACAGAAATTTGGAAGTATCTATAATTACTGGTCCCGATAAGTTAAATAATTTTGAAAGAAAAAAAGCTTGATGATTGTTATGCATCCACTTATATGTAATCGCATCGGTGGTTCAGTGGTAAAACGCTCTCAAACCACGCTTCACGTGGTTTGAGGTTCGATCCTTGGCCGATGCAGTACTAAACATCGTTAGGCCGATAGAAAGACCGGTAAAGACAGAAGGTTGGATGTGAGGCTAGCAATCCCATATCGTAAAACAAGCCACTGCTACTGAAACCTCAAAGCTCTAGCTTGAAGTTCTATGTTCCACTCGAAATGTAAAGAAATTAAATTAATTAATAATATATATTATCACACAGTAGGCTGTGACAGTTTTAAAAAAAGTAATACAGTTAGGTGGGGGAGACAAGTTAATCAATGATACTTTCTTCAACGAATCAACACCGAACACCTATCTCTGATACACAGAAAATTGTAATGATTAACAGGAGGGAATATAAGGCTATATGCATAAAGTAAGTCAGGAAGTCGTGTGAATATATTGATAAGATAATGAACAATAAAGCTGGCTTGAGACGTCATCCAGATGTTATTATAATACTATGTATTACTCTGTATGTGTAATATAAAAATTAACACTATCTAGTATGGAACTCAGGGTAAGAGTGATTCCCTTCTCACTAGTTAATCGTGTGAGTGCTTAAGTAGTTGATATTCTGCCGGTGTCAATCTTGAGTTCGAATCCCGTTCAAGATACTTCAGTTTAGCCAGTTGAGTAGTATAATCAGGTGTCATATAATAAGTGTGCCTAAAGGTCTCATGTATGGTAAATCTGTTCCGGGTAACTGATGTCAAACAACAACAGCTATTATCCTTATATAATGTTGAGTGAATGGACGCTACTAGATTTTTCTTCCATCAAAATGTAGCATATTTGCTCTATTTCATGTTGTTTTAATCATCCAATTTACATGCAGGAATCGTATTGTACATTTTCGAATAGACTTCTACCTACCACGCTGTAAGTTGTTTTGCAGTAAATGGAGGAAAATCACTACAGATCATTAAAATGTGCTTCGGATAGAAGAATACGCCTTCAAATGATAAGTTATTATCGATTTTTAATCTACTTGAAGATTCTATATAAGGAGAACGTGCTTTGAAATAGAATATTCTGAGAATTCAGTACCTTGAGTGAGGACATTCTATGAAATGAAGCTATTATTATTATTATTGAAATATAGGCATACATGCCTGATACTGATCGATATCATATCTTTATTCATCATATAAAAGTGTAAACCAATAGTAAAAGTAATTCTCATATACTCCTATTGTTATATTTTACCCTTTTTATCCTTATTTAATTCAATTTCAGATTTTCCCGTCGATTGATTGAACCGAAGTGCTCGGTCTCAAGTTGAGATGATGGCTCCTACTTGTCAGGTGTGCTTCGACGACGTCTGGTCATGTAACTTGAAGTCAACTGGTGGATGGTGACTGACCAGCAGAGGAATCCAGGATAACGCACATTTCGTCCTATTTGGGACTCGTCATCCGGGTATACCTGCATTCCCCAGTGAGTCAATGATGGTATTCCCATCGAAGCTTGAACCCAGTGCCCATAGTTTCAAACGCCATAGTGTTATCCACTAGACCACTTGGACCACGAGAGCCACCTGTTGTAAAACGGGTCTTATTATCTATAACATGCTAAAATTTCCAAACTGAATCGACAATACTGTTTGAAACAAACTCACTGTAATCGTTATTATTATTGTTATTATTATATTCAATAATCTCAATTCGTACTTCGAATATTTTTGACTTTATATCGTAAACGTGGACAAATTCTTCTGGTTAGTTTTAATTTTATTTATATTTTGAGTCAATCAGGTGCAATATTGGGACAAATGCTGAGAATTCCATTCTGTATTATAAGTCCTGTATTTGGAATAAAGCAGATTATTATTATTATTAAATATTTAATTCAATTTCAGATTTTCCCGTCGGTCCAACCAATCGATTAGTAAACTTGTGAAATTTTCTACCTACAGATTAATCTAGTTTCCATTGTAAACAAACATCAACAATGAAACTGTCGAAAAAATCTATTCTTATGAAAGTTGGATTTTCACGGGCGATTATGCGGCATACCCTTTTTTTAAAGTAGCGTCACCTTTATCCGGTGGGTATTAAGGCGTTACAATAAAAAGGTAGAAATATACCACCATCATCATTTCAAAATAATTCAATAATATACGTCTAAGTTTCGAACTTACTGCCTCCTTTAATCCATTACACATTGCGCAGATATTAGTTATCAAATCACATTTTATGATAAAAATGCAGCAAATGTAATACAGTTCAAGTAGGTAATGCTACCGATAATATGTACGCTGGAAAAAGTTTCTAATCCAATATTTTATTTAAAAAGCATACAAAAAATATAACTTGTCGTTGAACTATCATAGCAACAGCTTACGATGCTACAATTCGACTATCACTGAAAGTAAATAAATACTTCAGTTGACCTAGTTTAATTAAATTGAATCAAAGTGAATAACTTTTTCTTGCAATCTATTGATTTATGATCCCATTATGTATAGTGCGACCGTCAACCAATATCATCGGCGAATAAAACTGCCTTTTACTCTAAATCGGTGGATCCTGCTGGTCAGAACTTCAGGTAACTTCCTGTACAGAAAGGAGTCAGCCCACAGGAAGTATGAGACTAATTTTCAAGTGTTGATATAAAAGTATAAAACTTGGGCACTGTATAACTCCATTATGGGTAAGATTTTATTTTGATAAATCACACACAGTGTTGTACAGTTATATTAACTGATGGCGGCGTTTCGAGCACAAACTATCGCCCCTCATAATCATATCAACTTGATAGGATTCGAACAATTTTATAGACAATAAATCACGGCTTCCTTCACCTATCTAAGATGTATCGTTTCAACTACGGGCACTCGGAACGAATGAAGATGTCACAGTCAGCCAGCCAGAATTGGAAAAAACAAGCACGATACGCCTTTATCAGCCTGAAACCAGTTTGAAAATCTTCTGCACTCAACCAGCAGCATAAGGAACAGGATTCAGATTTTCAACACTACAGTCAAGTCGATCCCTCTATACGGGTCAGAAACTTGACCAGTGTGTCATGAAAAGGATTTCCAACAGGTTTCAGGCTTTCATCAACAGCTGACTTCGCTGGCTTCATTATGAAGATCAAATGGCCAGAAAGAATTAATAACAAGAAACTCTGGAAACAAACAAACCAAGAGCCAACAACAAATATGTAGGAGAAAATGGATATGGATCGGGCATATATATTGGGAGGTCGTCGAATGTTATCACGCGCAATGCAGGCCATGGCTCAGATCGTCAACTTCTAGCTTAGTGAAAGGGAGTGAAATGATAGAACATATTGACCACTTCACCTATCTGGGAAATCGTATCAGCACCAACGGACTGGTTGACGACGAAATGTCAGCACGGATCCAAAAATCTCGAGCTGCTTTCGCTAACTTACACCATCTCTGGCGTAGGCGTGACATCCGGCTATCAACCAAGGGACGTGGATACTGCTCATCAGTTCGCTCTGTCCTTCTCTATGGCTCTGAAACATGGCCAATACGAGTTGAAGACATGAAAAGGTTGACTACTTTCGATCATAGATGTCTGCGATCTCTTTCTCACGTTAGGTGGTTTAATAAGGTAAGTAATGTTGACGTTAGGCCTACAGTGTTGGGCAAAGAGGGAAAATCAATCGACGAGGCTATAAAGTTACATAGATTGAGATGGCTAGGTCACGTGGTGCACATGCCTAACCATCGCCCCCCCCCCCCGATGGGCGTTACTAGCTGAAATAGGTGCAGGTTAAAAAAGAGTAAGTGGTGGCCAAACAAAAACATGGCCTCATCAATCCATGAAATCCTTGACAGTTAAACTGAGTCGGTCAGGTAGGGAGATGCAGACTTCCGGGTTGGGGCCCTCGGGACTCTAAGAATCAATGGCTGGAGACAATAGGTGACATGACTCAAAACCGTTGTCAATGGCTAGCGCAGATATATTCAGTCTCTGTAATCTTTCATATTCCTTTCTACCATTACCCATTCTGTTTCACTCTTATACTTGTCAAACTCTATTGATTCTCTTCACTCATCTTCTTGTCTACCTTTGTGTGCTATTTGGAACGTGGCAACTCGAACTGCTGCACTTCGGTGCCAAGTTCTATGTTGAATCCAGACAGATAGACATGGCTCAAGTGGAATCCCAATGAGAGGCGATGAGTGGGTCGTCAGTGCAGGAGTGACATGGAGGCGATCGTATGGGAAGGAGGAGATGAGAGATTATGGGGAATCGTGGACCCAGCTGAGAAGAGGACAGCAGAAAATAGAACAGAGTGGAGATGTGTCTTTGAAGCCCTGTGTTCCACAAGGAATCCGGGGGAACAATAATAACAGTACAACCACGGCTGATAATTTTTTGTTGTTGATTATTTCATTACTCAAGAAGATGCAAAAATTAAAGCAAAAACAAAAATAAACAGCGAAAATTTCTCCGTAATAATAATCGGAAAACATTATTTATTTCATCTCTCATCTGATAGCAATACTACTTTATATTATACAAATAAGTTATGAGACGAGAAATAATACACAAATGACTGGTAGTAGTAGTAGTGGTAGTTAGCATGACATAATTAATAGCTGATTAACAATTATTTTCTTTTACGTAATAAGAATTTTGGAACAAATTTCTTTAAATGGAATGATGATTTCTTTATCTAAATAAAATAATTGATATGAACAACTTTTAGAAAAATATGTATATATATTTAATTATTTATTAACAGTTATTATTAGTTAATTAAATAGAAAACTGTGTGGCTTTGTGCCTTCGTCAGGAGCGGCGGCAGCGGCAGTCAGTGTACGAGGAGTGACGACAGTAAAGTAGGTCTAGTGCACTACTCTAAAGCAGAATATAATACGAGGAGAAGGTAAGCTAGGCGCATAAACTACAACGGTTAAGTGATGTAGAGAGAAAAAGTGAAGCGTGCTCAGCATTGAGGTAGTAAGTGTTAATAAAACATTTTTTTGCTTAATGCGGCAAGATTAAACTAACTGTTAACTAGAGCAGTTATATTATATATATATATATATATATATATATATATATATATATATATATATATATATATATTAAGTTAATAGCGAAACAAACGGAAGGCATGGAAAAATTACATCAGACACAAAAAGCTGGCTAGCCAGTTATCGCGCGTATTCTTTTTTCAAAAAAATAGGGGCAATAGTAAAACACAATTATGCTGAGCAGCAAAAATGATCTAAAACTCAGAGTGACAGAGAAAAAACGGCGAGATGATGGCGAGAAGAGCATTGAACCCAGTTGGTTGTATATAATTTGGTTAGTGAAACACCAAGTGAGTCAGTCATATGGGTTGTATGGAACGCATACAATACTAGCAGTGTGAACTCACATGACAAATCTAACATTACACAATGAGAAGATAGAAAAAGAAACAAAAAGTTGAGAGTATTGGTAAGATTATGAATCAAAATTGAACAGTAAGCCTGAGACTAACAAACAATCAGATCAGTAATGCTAATGATGTATGCATGGTGGTCTCAATCAATTAAATTTCCAAGTTTCTAGTTTGATCACCGATTGATATCAGCTAGAGAACCACTGAAAAACCTGGCTGTACTGGATAGATGTTTCGTCCTAGCTCGCTAGTACGCTCCCAGAAGTCCACGAGCTCACCTTGTAACCAGAGGACCTTTAGTTCGAAACCCGGTGTGTGTATGCTGTACATGAGTCCTAAACTAATACGAAACAGATGTCCAGCACTCCCTGGTTCTCAAAGGTTCTCTAACCGATATTAATCTATGACAAAAACCTGAAACTCCTGAAATCTTTCAAGTGTTGATTTCTAGGGATTTTACTGGTTACAGGTTTAATCGCGGGCTGATATCAGGACCATTGGAAAACCAATCAATACCGCGACAGTACTCATCCACCGGGGCTCGAACGCAGTAGCTACAGGCTACGAGGTGAGCTTGTACACCATTCAGTCACTGGGATTAACGATGTATATAGCTCAACCACTACCTAAAATCATCGACGAACAACTCTCCTCTTATCTAACTTGGTGAATCCCGCTGAGTAGGACTTCTCACTAGAACTCCAAGTAACTTCCTGTACAGAGCCAGTCACTAGTGAACATCAGATTAGTTTTTAATTGTTAGTTTGCACACATTTGATAATTGAAGGCGAAATGAAAACCTAAGACAAAGAAGCATCCTAACCAGCGGCCTTCAAGATTACAATCTAGCCCAGTTATCTACCACTAAGTTACCAGACTGCTGACAACCCCCATTATCATTTCACTACGATCACCACGAATTATGCTTAACTGCGTCATGCAGATGAGCGATAAGTAACTTCCCCTTTTTAAAACTACTACACAAACTGTCCGGTTAAGCTTTTTTGCAGTCAACGTCTATTAGACTGAATTTGAACTAGGGGAACAGATTTGTTGGACAAAATACCTGAAATGGCTTCCATATGACGGATGACGATTGACTGGTTAGTAACTGAAGGCTGTTGATTCGAACTGTAGCACTATCGAGGTTTATTATTAATATAACATTGGATCCGACATATCTGCATATCATGTCATTAGACTGAAATTATCGTTAATAAGAGGAGAGGCAGTGATGTAATTTGCGTCATTATAAACGTCTTTCATATTGTAGGCTCTGGTAAGCCAAAAGCTCACCTCTAGTGTATACTAACATGATTCTTATCTGATGTGCAAATAATTGTTGTTACTCAATTGGAAATTCAGAACTGTCTTTTTCGTATTGAATAACATAACGAAGCAATTTATGCACCAGATTGTAACCTGTTCAGCACTAAGTGAAATTATGTCCAAGTGTTGGTTTGTAGAGATTTGATTGGTTACAGGATTCCACCATGAGCTGACATTAGTCAGAGAACCATTGGAAAACCTGGGAGTACTGGATATCTGTTTCATCAGTCTAGTTTGGGACTATTCATCAGTACGCACCCACCGAGATTCGAAACCAGGACCTTCTGAAGCCCTGTTTTCCATAATGAGGTGACATTGTTTAGTATTCTAGTTATCAATCTAGACCTACTGTAATACACATAAATCGACCGAGATTCTGAGTACAAAGGAAACAGGTCGAGCCACTATTGCTATCATGGCTTACTGTCGAGCCATTGGATCGGGTACCAGTGGAGCTCGGCTTGTAACCAGAAGGTGCTGGGTTCGAATCCCGGTGGGTGCGCACTACTGAAGAGTCCCAAATTAGACTGACGAAACAGCTGTCCAGTACTCCCAAGTTTCCTAACGGTTCTCTAACTGATGTCAGCTCATGATGAAATCATGAAATTATGTCTTTTCATCTTCGCTGAGGTGAGAATCACCAGGAATCACTGATCAATACTAGCTAACTAATTAACTAACTAGAAAATTGTTGAGTATTTATGCTAACCACACAAAATAACAAGAGAACTACATTAGTTTACTTTTTGTTTTCAGAGTTCAAAGCATATCATCGTTTTGGTTTTAGAGTTCAAAAATATTAAGTTTGCCACATAAAAATGTAAGCACATGCCTGAAATAAGCTTTAGAAATGTGCTGTACACACAGCAGCTAAATAAATATATGAAAAAATTATACCCAATGTAGTCTAAGCCTTCCTTGGATACTGAAGATGAGATGGCACTAGTCAATATTCTTCGTTATTACTATTCCTTTGTCTTATATCCCTGTCTACTGTCTCTATTATGCATTTCTTCTACTTTCTTCTCTTGCTTTGTGTGATATATGGTGTGTGGTGACTTGAACTGCTGAATTTCTGTGCAAAGTTCTATGTTGAAAACAGACAGACAGACAGAAGATGAGATGGCTTGCTGGAAACGATAACCAGCAAGGAACACTTGGTAGGCAAAGAACCAACCAACAATCTCTTGCCTAACAAATATGCAGAAGGAATTCGACATGGGTCGGATATATGCTGAGCAGATCGATGAGTGACATCACACACCAGGCCAGTCCTCAAGAGGAACACTGATGGGAAACGATGAGTTTAATGTGGCCCCGATAGAGAAATGGACGAGATCGTGTGAGCAACAAATGAAAGCTGTTTATATACAAGCTTGGGGTCAAGTAAAGCTGACACGACACAAAAGACATGATGAAATGAAGATGCGTTGCCGAAGCCCTGAATTCTGTTCGGAACCCAAGGGAATAATAGTTATTATAACAAAGCAGTTTAGCGACCCAATGTAAGCTGATGCATTGAATTCCAAGGGGAATACGGCACTACTTCATCAATCAGATGAGAATTTTGAATTTACAGTCCAGTGTTGTTGGAACGTTCACTACCCAAGCTTATTAAATCCTATCTCCACATAATAAGAATACGATATAATCTCTTATCTTTTATTAACTATAAAATGAAATGAACTGACCACTGCCGAATGCCACATTTTTCATTAACAAATTGAAATCTAACAATCACAAGGAAACGAAAGCCGAGGAATTGAGACATTTATGTATCTTATACATCACCATTTTTTTGTTAAGAAAAGACAATGGGAAAAAGACAATAGGCAAAAGTTAAGTAACTGTAAATTACATCCATTCCTTGACGTTCCCAGTGGAACATGCGCCTTCAGGCTTGAACTTTGAGGTTTCAGCAGCAGTGGTTTTATTTTTACGGTAGGGAGAGGGAGGAGTTGACAGCTTTATGCCTAATCAAACCTTTTTATTGGCCTTGCAAACGGCTTAGTGGAGTTTAGGAGTGCTTCAACTGGGGATTAGACTCTGGACTACGCGTCAGGCACGGTTGGTGAGCACCCATTCTACTTGTGGATCACCGAAGTACAAATAACTGTGAATACATGGAATGAATTTGGAACAATTTACATGTACAACCAAGCATTGAAGACAAAAATCTTCAAGAAAGTGATTTTAATCGACTAACTAGTCAATAGACTATACTGTTCATTATAGCATAAAAAGAGGAGAATGTTAAAAAACAAACGTTCAACCAGTAGTTCCAAAGACTCTAAATTTACCGCATATATCCGCTAATTATTATTCTGGCTTCTTTCTCGTTAGTTTGCGGGAATTCGATTGATTTCAAGTTTGCCTAGGAAATGACTTCAGTTACAAAACCATTGAAAACTAGGGCGTACTGGATGGTCATTTCGTACGGTGGAAGAGTCCAGGAGGGGACGAAACAGACGTCCAGTATTTTAACTGAAGTCATTTCGTGATCAAACTTTTCTTAATGTGTATTCTTTTATTCTAATCAACTGCTATCGCATGAAATCCACCAGTATTCTAATTACCCAGGAGAGAAACAGAAACCTAAAATCTATAAGTTTAAATAGCTGCTTGACAAACTTTTCTTCTTACCAGTACATAACAAAAGCTATCCGTGAAGACCTACTTATCTCTTGTGTTTACTTTAAACAGACAAGATGCTGCTGTATTAAACATAGAGAAGATTTGTAGCTCAAGTGGACGCTTATGATTTAGTTGTGTTCCCTAAGTTGGTTTATTTAACTGTGGGGCTTTGTTACCTTACTACACATCTCCAGCGCTGTCTTTAATATAATGTGAATTTAATTGGTGGATGGTGACTAGCAGTGGAGTTCAGGATGCGCATTTCTTACTATATGGGACTCGTCATCTGAAGGTACCTGCATGTACCTGGATGATAAGATCAATATCATTTACAAAATAAACTACATAAACTGCGATAAACACCACATTGGTCAGAATGGGTGTCGTCTTAGAATTAGAATATAAGAACATAAATTAGCTGTGAAAAAAACAAAATATGTATTCTTTTATATCGATGCACGTGGATAATTGTGAACAATGATTTGACTGGGAATATTTAGAAATTTTAAACACAGGAAACAACAAAAATACTACCAGGGAATTTCTAAAAGCTTGGTACTCAGATGAATCAGTGACTAACAAACACATTACCATAGATCACATTTACCATATAACTAAAAATAAATTACACAACAATAAAGTTAAAATCCCACGTCAATAGAAATGATCAGTGTGAATTGACAATCAACCACGGCCACAATTAAATCATTTCATGGAAAGTTCAAACAAGTTCACTTTATATTAAAGACAACGCTAAAGATGTTGTCTAGGATGACGACAGCTTCACAATTAAATTAACCAGTTCAAAGAATACAACCAGATCTTGAAATAAATTAAATCAAGGCTGATAAAATTATGTATTAATGAATATATATTTTTCACGTAAACAATACCTTTTTAAAACAGTTCCACAAGAAATAAATTTGGATCTTTTTATCGAACAACAAAAGTATTTCTGGATTTCGTCATGAACTGACATCGGTTGGAGGAGCATTAGAAAACCTTGGAGTACTGGACAACTGTTTCATCATGATTTGGAACTACTCAGTAGTACACACTCACTGAGGTTCGAACCCAGGACCTTCTTGTTACAAGGTGCGCTTGTAGATCATTAAGCCACTGAGACCCTATCTAATGGCCCATGAATCCTTATTTCTACTAATTCGTGATTTAGCGTGACCACCAACCACAATTAACTACACGTAAAATAATTGAAAAAGAGAGTATATGTGATGAATTTTGAATATATTTAAACCCAAAGTGATGCTGCCACAGTGCCTACAGTTAGTTGGACAGAGATATGACTAAAATTAATGTAGGTGGATGAAACAGAAGCATTCGAGGTGACTTTTTTTCCAATCAACTTTGTATTCATCGACCAGCGTTTGGCAATTGAACTATTAAGTCTAAATTAGGCAGTTCAGAGGGAGTCGGTAAAGCCACTATCCCTTCTATGGCCGCTTAAGATCTAACCAACTGGTTATGCCACAACTCCTTATGTATTTCTAATCCCTTCTTTATCAATGCCCTCCTTAGGTATATAGCGTCTTCATTATAACATACTTTATTTACTCCCCTTATAATCTAGTATTACATAATCCAACTGCTTGTTTGTCTTAGCCTTTACCTAATACGTTTATCTGAACATCTGTTTGTTTAATCATGTCGTCACTGAATATCCCTTTTTTCATCTTTCTTATTAAAAGCGTCATTATTATTACTATTGTATTATTACTGGTTACAATTTTTACGTCCCAATGTATAATTTATATACCCACTCCTACGATTCTATTGACAAATTACCATGATTATTAGTTTACATATAATATCCGGTTTTAAAGTTATGAGACCTAATTGAAGAAACAAACACAATATTGTTCGCTTACATGTGTTGTTTTAAATTTCACTACGAGAATCCTTATTAAGTGATTGTGTCAAGCAGATAGGCTGTAACTTACAAATTTTCATATTTTAACAAATGAATAATTTAGTTTATATGTTTAGAAGTCACTTCTCCAAGACAGATTTCTCATTCACTGGACTATGTACTACACATGTTGTATGACAACAGATGATACTATCCAGTTGTCGAGTCTGAAGAAGTAGACAAAGTGGGATACGAACTCAGGAGTCACTGACAATAGAAGTCAAGTGTTTAATAGTCATATTGCCGTACAAATGTGAATGGTAAGTGGAAATGTTGTCCAGTGAGTGAGACGTGGGTAACCATTAAATATTTTAACACTAGAAAACTGAAACGTATGCGGACAATTAACTGTGTACACTTATAAATTCACCCACCCTTTCCCACCCCCAATGATCCTTCATAGACAAAACCTTCATCACTCTGAGATCAATGTGGAAATATTCTGCCCTCAGTCAGTGATTCTATATGTGTCAGAAACTTGCACTGCGCATCGCGAAAAGCATTTCGAACAGGCTACTGTAAACTTTTACAGACAGCCACCTTCGCTAACCCCATACTGACGACTGGTCAGAAAGAATTAGCAACACAAAACTCTGGGAACGAATCAATCAATGACAGCAAATATGCTGAAAAAAATGGAGACCGTAGAATGACATCAAGTGCCAGGCCATCGCTCGAGTGGAACCCAAATGGAGAATGATGGGTATTGGTCCGACGGTGACATGGAACAGACTATGTGACGAGGAGATGAGAGAATAATTGCCTGGTAATATCAGTTTAGTTTAACTGAAAATCCAGAAAACCAACACGTAAATTAGCAATCTAATAGAGTATTATACACTAAACGCCACGAGTTACAATTATTTAATGGGGAGTGGTGATATTATACAGCCGTTCTGAATATAATGGATGAAAGCGAAACCAACTGGCTGAGACTCAAAACCAATGAACCACAAATAATTGTAAATCCTTAAGATTAATAGTCCGTCGTTAACAACACACAAACCAGTTTACAACACATCGGGAATAAATCCTGAGTCCGATAAACTTTAGCTTATTAGAATGACTCAGCACTCAGTTATGTCGAAATGAATGTATTACTTGGAACCATCGGTATAAGAGGCCAATGAAGACTTTCGATTGCTTAGAAAATAAAACAGTTTAACGAAACACATATACAAAAAAAGTAAGAATAGTTCTAAACAATACATTTCAAAAGCTTTCATGACTCCTCAATAACTAAAATTGACAGGAGATTTAAACCACAAGTTGTTATCATTTAGAGAATCACTGGAAAACCAGGGAGGTGTTTCGTCCCCGTTTTGGACTGTCCAACAATACGCACCGATAATGGTTTGGACCTAGCACCCTCCGGTTACAAGGCAAGGTCGTAGGAGTATTCAGCCACTGGGGGCCAAACCTATGACCCATGTATTCCAACTTCTGCCAGTTCGTGATGTACATAGTGTAACCACCAGCCAATGTCGCAGGCTTACTTCTTAAGAATCCCTGAAGGTTTTCTAACGCTTCTCTAACTGATGTCAGCTTGTGGTCAAATATGTAGCCAATCTAATTCCTGTAAACAATCGCCTGGTAAAAATTTCTTCTTTAAAAAGACAGAAAGAGTACAAAAAGTATTCTGGATCGCTTATAATTCCACCAGCAAGTATGAGTGCAAATAGAGCTTAGGTCAATCTCATAGAAATATCTACCACTAAAAAGGTGATAAGTGGTGCTACTGTGTACATTTATATAATCGAAAAGGTGGTGACAAAAATTTTGAAATTAAAATTAAAATCCCTCTATAAACAAATCTGATGATTAAAAATAACCTTAGTATAAAGGGAAACGCTTCATAGACCTCACATAAATACGAATAGGTAGGAAAAAACTAACTTACCTTGAAAGGTGCACTATACCCCTGCGGACAATGCTTGTTACGACTCATATACACAAGACAAACTGACTGACCAGCTAAATCTTTCAATCGATTTGATTCAATTTTAGCCTTATAAAAGCATTCTTGAAATTTAGCTGCATTTGGAGCTTGTAACAGTGCTGAAGACAATGAGTTTTTTCGATGTTTTGTTTGCGATACACTACTTGATGCATACACATAAGTAATATAATCTCTTTCTAAATCTGCAAATTCTGCTGGATACAAGCCTATCCAATCGAATGATGTAGTTTGCAAAGTTGGAGGAGCCAATGGACCCATATCATCTTTTGTCTTTTCTGAATTCTCCCCTTGTTGATGATTTATAGACTTCATTGGTGTGTTGAGTAACAACAACTTGGTAAAGTCACACACTGGACTCGACTCTCTCGGTGAAAGCAGTAAATTTGATTCTGAAAGTCTTAATAGCCCAGGGGGATCAAGAACTCGGTAGGATATATCCAAATTGGCATAACATGGATATTCTAGGAGATTTGATGAATAAAAGGTCGAACAGGTCTTTAGTAAGTAAGGAAGGAAGTTGAAAACTTAATTCTACTGAAGGAAAAGGCAACTGACTTTGTAAATATAAACGCACATGAGATCAATATTATTCCTACAATCACAGTAAAATAGAATACTTAGAATAAAATTTCATACAGTCATAACCAACAAATTCCGGAGAATGGAACTCATGCATACTGCGTTTTTTTCACACCTGACGCATTGAACTGAACGTGACGTTTGACAAGGAGATTAGAAATATTACTATCCAAAGCCTAAATTATCTTATTACTAAATAACTCCCAATTCAGTCAAGAAAATATGAAAAGTATATTTCAAACATAACTACTCCACTACATGCTGTCTACATAACAAAACTATTGTTTGAATTTAATAATAAATCCAACAGTCATACATTTTATCTTCTGAAACTAGTTCACCTAAGAAGCTTTGTGTTTAACACACAAAATTATAAGTAATAACCATTTTTATGACTTCCTTGCACTTATACATTCCCATTGGAACAATCTTTTGCTAGAATATTCATAAATAACTCCCACCTGTAACTCTTAGTATTTCTGTTCATTCAACATATTGATTAGTTGTGACTAGATTCAAACATGTCACATCCCATCAGATTAGAACACACAAATAAAGACTAATTAACTATGTTTACACCAACAGCAAATTAAATAGTTCATTTAAGTCTTTCACTACTAAATAATCTAATGCTAAGACTGTAGGTTTAAGGTGAAACGAATTACTAAGAAACAAGCATTAACATATACAATTTATCTAACTAATGCATTGTAACTTCATTGTCAAATAATGAACAACGGAAGTTACTCAGCTAGAACTCAGAATTCCTGTTCTTTGTGTTGACTTTTAACTCTCTCACACTAAACCTTAACATTTGATAACACATTCAATAGACTTAAACTACCGAAAAAGAAATGAAAACACAGGAATTTGACAAGACAAAATACTCACCTTTACCATTAGGTTCTTCAAATTTAACAGGTAAACTGAACCACCTAGGAGGTACAGATAATCTAAAGACTGCAATAACTGGTCGATGATCTGATATCTTATATTCACTTAAACTAGTATATTTGAGCAGAACAGCTTCAGGATGTTGTCTACCCTTAACAGACTCATTTGATGGGAATTTTTCTTCCATTTGTGATGGTGGTCCTCGAACAGGTAACCGACGAGATGGACTGACTGATCGCTGTCGACTGGTTTGCGGAAGATTAAGGTGATGATCCAGAGCGAAATCTCTATGGACCATGTATAATATACGATCTGTCCACGCTGGAACCCGTTGCTTCTTGCTACAATTCAAAAGCAAACCAACGTCAGAGAACAAAAAGAGTATATTAACATAATAAAATAATATTGACAAGTCAGGTTTCTGCCTTGTCAAATGATAAAAACCACGTTTGTTGTAAAACTGAAAATGATTTATGAGCGGCTATCAAGATAGATAATACAACATCAAATCTTCTGAAGCTTACGAGGAAGTAAACATAACTGAAAAAAATAGTGCTGGTATACGCGATCAACATTTTTCAACTTGACAAAAAGGTGTAACTAAATTAGAATGATTCCTAGTCTTCAAAAATCCAATATACCTTTCTATTATTTTTAATCAAGTCTGAGATCTGTTACAATCATGTATTAGTTCAAATTACTTTACTTTAAAAGCATATCAGAGTAAAATCCGCCTAAATTAACATAACCACGATGAGTTAACAGTCTAACAAAAGTGATTTCCACTAAGCTTCTTAATTAAATTTAACGACGTGGAAAGAATAAGTATTAGATAGATCACTGTAGGCGTGGGCTTCTGAGTGCACTTACATTATAAGTTAGAAAAAATGCAGTAAAAATAAAAGGTGGTGAAATTCGAGTTGGAATAATAGTCATAGCAGACAATAAGGACAAGTGATTAAGCGGTCACTTTCACAGGGGTGGTAGAGTTAGTGTTAAGAGTGAAAATTACAATTTACTACGTAATTAACAAAATTAATGGCTGTTTGATTTTTCCTATTTGTAATTCACGGTGGAACTTTTATCATCACTTTACAGTTTCTGTACACTTTTGACTTAATTGTCACTGCTAACACTAAAGAGTTGCTTTTATCGATTCTATTTACCTCTACCATGTAATGTTCTTATTCAGTACATTCGATGCGATACCGTACCAAATACTAAGAATTACGCCGTGCCATAAGTACTGTTTTGAAATAAAGTAAAACATTATTATTATTAAAGTCAGAAACTTACAAGTAGTACATCCATATCGCTTAGTAGCATTTTAGTTATCTACCGACATATATCGCTACTTTACCTTAAATAAGTTCCCGGAAATATTACATTATGTGAGAATAGAAATTTTCACATTTGAATGCCTTGTTGCATAAATAAATATCCTGACGGCAAACCAAAAGCCTGGAAAAGACCGATGATACTCACAACTATCTCTGCCACAGGGCAAAACACAGAACTTAGAGTGGACAAAATCTGTTGCAGACTGACTTACACGAAAGCCAACTATTTGTTGAACCCTAAGTGGAACTTGTGATTCTAGTAGTATGAGAATTATTTAGCATAGAAAAAACTCGTTACTTTCTCTTAAAATGTACAACTAGTAACTTATTTTAAGCCATCAATCATCAAAATTACTGCTAACCCTAGTTAGTATTACATATTGACGCTACCGTTTTGTGAAGGTTGAAGAAGTTACAAACAGCAATATGTTTAACATACTCTAGAACTCCTCAATGAACCTATATTTTTCTCGTGAAACACAATATCTAGAATCTCTTCACCATGTGTTATCTAGGCTATTCAAATATGAAAGCAACTTTACCATTTGGAAAGGACGATAAGAAATCATTAGATAACATTATGGCTTGGTTGTGAAAATAGTTAAGTGACCGGGAAGCCTAAGGACAATATTTCATTGTAATCCAAAAATAAATGTGAAAACTACTAACAAAAAATTGAAAACCTAAATTCATACATAAACTAAGCAAATTTCAGAGTGATTACCTACTGTCATACATATCTGTACCCTTGTCAAACTTGAAAGTTGGTGGGAAAGATATAGTGCCTTCATTGAAATCATGAAAAAGCAGTTTGTCATTTTTCATATTTAAAAGCTAAAATGAAGATTAAAAAGTTATTATCGTACTTGGTCATGCTGCAAAAGTTCATTAAGTCGATTTTCTCTTATCATTTGCTCCACTTCATCTTTTTTGACGTTATCTATGCGAAAGTTCAAATCACCCATCCAAAATACATAACTTTTAAACATTTATTAATGATAAAGATGAAATTACTCATGATCTAAAATGACATTCACATCTTCATCTCTAAAACTTTGATGGTCAATGATATCAAAATAATCCTGAAGGAGATTAAAACATTTTTTTAATCTTACATTTAAACGGTCACGCTTATTTTCCATATGAGCAGTAAAGTGACAAGAAAGGAATATCATGTTTATCCCACAAAGTTCAAATCTTGCACTAACTCCTCCTTTGTTCCCCTAAAAAAGGTATGACGGTTTCACAACAATTAACCAACCATAACACCAGCGTATCCTGATGCAGTGACTTCAGACTCGATATTAGTGACTGCAGGCAGAAGGTTTCGCTTGAGAAAAGCAAATATCCAAATAGCCCAGCAGTTCCTAGATTTGATCTATTCAAATAAATTCATAATGCAACAATTACAAAACATTTATTACCAAGACATAGCCACGAGGATAAAGATGTTCCATCAACTTCTGCCGCCAAAAATCTTCTCCCGAAACCTCTTGAAGTCTAAGATATAAATTATGACATATATAAAAAACCTACGCCACGCTTATAACATCTGGAAATGGTCTCGCATTTACACCAAGGAGAGAAGAAAGGTCCTCATTTCCCGGTTTTTCATCTCCAACATTCCATGTGCAACAATGAACGCTGTGGAAAGAGTTGACAGGATAAAATAGAAACAAACGTTAAGGACGGCATTTCACCTAACCATCTCAAGCGCTTTAAAAGGTCGCACAGATGGCCTTCATCTCCTATTAGTATAAACAACACAAATTATCAATATGAGATGTCTTGACAATAAGCACTACAAGCTGCTCATTACTTCTTACAAAATGAAACAGCGTGAAAATGGGATCATTACTTGACTGTGAAAAAGGAAATGTGAAAACAGAGTAGGAATTGAAATGCAATGGCTTAATTCAGGTGCAGCAATACCATGCAGACAAAAGTTAGTTTCCGTCCGTTTTTGCAAAATTTGGATTTTTCAGGTTACTCGCATGTTAAACTGTCTCTTCGGGACATCAGTTATTCTGTTTCGTTGATTACAGTCCTAATTCGGTTTCTTTCGTGGTTTTCCCCACTTTCAATTCATTTGTGCATCTGGTGGACAAATGCTTTGTTGTTATTAGATGGTTGGGGGCAATCAGAAGGAAGCCTTGGACCTAGGCTTTGTGCTTTCTACACTCCTCAGCAAGGCGTATCTGCAACTTTGAGGAAACTTATGTCCCTTCTGAGATTCGAACCCGTCAACCAGTGCTGCAGTCAGAGACGTTACCCCTGAGCTATTCGGCCTCTCGATTGACCTCATGTTAGGCTGTGTTAGATACTTTTGAGTAGGTACTAACTGGCGTCATTTGTCAATTCCTTTATTTACTAAGGACTGAATTCTATCAGTCAATCAAGAATCTGAATAGCTGAGTGGTAACGTCTCCGACTGCAACAGTGGGTGACGCGAGTTCGAATATTAGAAGGGACATGAGTTCCCTCAAAGTTGCAGATAAGCCTTGCTGATGAGTGCCAACTAGCGCGAAACCTAGGACAAATGCTTTCTGTCGATTGCCTCCAACCATCTAATACCAACAATTCACAGTGCACCGTAATGGCGAGCCACCTAGTATAGTGGCCACATTGCAGACTTGACTGATAGAATTCAGTCTGCAGTAAACAAAAGACTAGACACGTGACACTAGTTATTGTCCAATCTAAAGGACGACTCTTTCCATGGGAAACTATCACAGAGCACCAATGTCCCATTGTCCTTAAGTTTACGTCACTAAATTCCACAATTTCGGGCGAAGGCTACAGGTGCCGTGCTCTTTCCTGTCTCTTATGGCATACAGACATTTTCATGTGCCAGTGCACACTGGCGGTGCCAACTCTTTCACAGCGTAAGTGATCCCTATAGGCTTCGAACCTTAAATCGTGGAGAATAGTGCTCAAAGAATACAGATAGTCACCAATGATGTGGCCAGAAAGGACGATGACGAAGTCATCACTAGGACTACTCCTATTTCTATCGAAACAAAGAAACAATTATTTTTAAACTAAGAACAGCTGTTGCAGCTAACTTTTTTGGAGATAGCGAATGCGAAATCATCCCAATCAGTACAAAATTACATGATCCTTTTTTACCCAAACTAGTTATCACAAGGCCGTAAACCGCTCCTACAAATCTGTCTGTTTTCGACATAGAACTTTGCACAAATGTGCGGAAGTCCAAGTCGCCACACTCCGTGTAGCACGCGAAGCAAGAGAAGAAAGTACAAGAAAAGCATAATAGAGACAGTGAGCAGAGGTGTGAGACAAAGGAGTAATAAAGAAATACAAAACAGTTTCATTGAAGATCATAAGTCACAGGGAGTGGATGCATCTGCGCTAGCCACTGAGAACGATTTTGAGCCATGTCACCAATTGTTTCCAACCATAGATTTTTACCGTCCCGAGGACCCCAGCCTGGAATTCTACACCTTTCTACGTGGCTTAGACCAACTGTTGTGGATTTCATTGACTGATGCCAAGTTTTTGTTTGACCGCCGCTAGCTTTTTTCCAGCCTGACCCTATATCCGCTAACATTGCTCGTCGAGGGAGGCGATGGCTTGGCATACGTACAAATAAACCTGCCTCATCATTTCAGGAATTACGAATTGAACTAGAGGGACCTAGGGCAAAGTGTGTGGAGTCCTCAAAAATCAACTTATCCAAATTTTACTACTATGTAAATAATGAACATATTGTACACCACTTTGTTTTAACCAGAAACTCTGTACTTTGACTTTACCTCGGGTTTTGAATAAATATATAGTTGTGCCTTCGACTCTCCGTCTTCTCCACCATCTCAACTGCCGTCGATCAATCCTAATCACCTGCTTTCTATCTCTGATTTTTGCAGGAGCACCGTAGTTTCTTCCTACGTACTTTGGTCGACCTCCGGCAACGTTAACATTGGAGAATTACTACTGGAGCAGTCTTTCCGCAGCACCTGGAGTCTATTACGTTTATTGTGGACTGTGGACCTTTGTAAACTCAAGTAATCAAACTTTAATACATTCTTCCCGTAACTAAACTCATTTGGTATTTTATTTTCTACTTGAATTTGGGTAACTAAGCTAATAGAGTGAAAAGGTCCACCACAATAATTGGTGAGCCCGTTTCGAACCCTTTTTTTATGGTTAACCCGTTTTCGAACCTTTTTGTTTCGATAGTTACCTCGTTTTGAACATTTTTGTTGCTATTTTGTCCTTATAAACTCGCACTGCTTTAATTTTTGTTACCACAAGTTTTTCTATTTTGTATATCTATATACTTACATATTATATGACAATGGCTCCACCTAAACGTACCACTGTTGCTGAAGAAGGTAATAAAGGCGAAGAGACACAGAACTCTGCTGTTAACGCCTTGCCGGATTTAAGACTTCCTCAATTTGATCTGGCTGAACCACGTGTCTGGTTCACAATTATTGAACAGTTGTTTGCAGCTCGAGGTATTACGTCGCAGATCGCCATGTATGGTTGCGTATTAGCAGCAATTCCCACGGAAGTACTACGAGAGGTTATCGATGTCATAGACAGCAAACCTACAGACTCTCAATATGACAAACTAAAAGCTGCACTCATCCAGCGGACCACTCTCTCCGATGAGAAACGCATACAACAACTACTTACTTCGTGTGATCTAGGTACAAAAAAGCCATCTCAACTACTTAGACATATGCGCCAGTTGATTGGGTCACACAAAGTAGATGAGTTAATTCTACGTCAGATGTTCTTACAACGTTTACCACAAAATGTTCAACAAATCCTAACAATATCTTCTAGGACGACAGACCTTGAAGAATTAGCTAAAATGGCAGACGATATCATGGATGTGTTATCAAATAATGGCATAAATAGCGTGTCTACCGAGGCAGTACCACCAAGCCCTTCCACATCTATGAAGGACGCACCAATGTTTTGGTTACTTTCCCAGTTAACATCTCAAATGCAAGATTTACGACTGGAAGTGTCCGAGCTTCGAGCACAAAGGAACCAGTCACATACGGTATCCAAGCAACGGCGATCAAGATCTAGACGACGTTCTAGAACACCGTCTCAAAGCCGTAACATTTGTTGGTATCATAGGAGGTATGGGCATAATGCCCTGAAGTGTATTCGACCGTGTATGTACAACAGTAGTAACTCATCTCAGGGAAACTCCCCAGCCAGACAGTAATGGCGACGGCTGTTAATGGCAATCACCCCAGTCGCCTTTTCTATGTGAGGGATTTGACTACCGGCACATTATTCCTGGTAGATACAGGCGCCGAGGTCAGTGTTATTCCCCCCTCACTATCCAGGCGATCAGCCAAAATACCTGGAAAACTTTCACTCCGTGCTGCCAACCAAACCAACATACAGACGTATGGCGAACAGTCAATGATTTTAAATTTAGGACTACGCCGACGTTTCACATGGATCTTCATAGTAGCTGACGTACGTCACGCTATACTAGGTGCAGACTTCCTAAGTCACTTCAATCTGTTAGTTGATATCAGCAAGAAAAAACTGGTTGACAATTGCACCCAACTCAAGATCCATGGTATTACATGTGACTACTCGGTTCATAGCATCTGTATAGAAAAGCCGGAGAGTGAAATGTTCTCTGCTTTATTGAAACGATTTCCTAAAATCCTTAAACCATCATACAACGTTGAAGATATATCTCATACAGTTACGCATAAGATCATCACAACAGGACAACCTGTGAAGGCACGTCCACGACGGTTACCACCCGATAAACTAGCAGCAGCTAAGTCGGAATTCGAACATATGATGCAGCTAGGTATCATACGACCATCTAACAGCCCATGGTCTTCACCTCTGCACATGGTACCTAAAACTAATCATGACTGGCGACCATGTGGAGATTATCGCGCTTTGAATAACGCTACGGTCCCAGATCGTTATCCTATACCTCATCTCCACGACTTCTCCTTGACCTTACATGGAAAGACCGTTTTTACCAAAGTTGACTTGGTCAGGGCATATCATCAAATACCAGTCGCTCCAGAAGACATTGCAAAAACAGCAATTATTACGCCTTTTGGATTATTCGAATTCTTGAGAATGCCTTTCGGACTAAAGAATGCTGCTCAAACATTTCAGCGTTTTATGGACCAAGTTACCCAAGGTCTTGATTTCGTCTTTGTATATATCGACGATGTCTTAATTGCCAGCTCATCGATGGAAGAACATATGCAACACTTAAGCCTGTTATTTCAAAGGTTTGAACAATTTGGAGTTGTTATCAATCCAAAGAAATGTATTTTTGGTTCCCCTTCCATTGAATTCTTAGGACATCGAATAACTGCTGAAGGCATCAGACCTACCGAAGATAAGATAGAAACTATTAAGAACTTTCCCGAACCTGATTCCTTAAAGAAACTTAGACGTTTTCTCGGGATGTTCAACTTCTACCGACGTTTTATTCCATCATGTGCCTCCATAGTTCAACCACTGACCGACCTACTTAGATGCAATTCGAAGAAATTTCAGTGGTCTGAAGAAGCAAAAGCAGCATTTAATAATGCAAAAGATGCCTTATCCAACGTTGTAATGTTATCTCATATCAACCCAGAAGCTTCACTCATTTTATGTACAGATGCATCGCAGGTAGCAGTGGGAGCAGTTTTACAACAAAAGTTCAATAATGACATCAC